ATAAAAATTCCAATTGGAATCATGTGGAAGAAGACCCACTCTTTGGAATCCATTGTTCTATCTAGTGATTGACTATTTGATTATGATCCATGACTCCCGTTCCAGCAAGGATGAATCTTTTGCACTGTAATAATCACTCTTTTTTCCTGTAATAATGATAATAATAATAATAATAATAATGATGATGATGATGATGATAATAATAATAATAATATTAATAAGACTTAAAAATTATTGGAAAATGCTTATGTTATTGCAATTCAAATTATAATCACTTTTATAAAAGCTTTTTTAATGGGATATGTCCATAAAACAAAACCTTTCGATTACCCATCGAGATTCACGGAATAATTCGAATGAAAAGTGGTCTGCACTCGCCTTCTACTTCTGGGGTCTCGAGATTCCATTCCCAGACCCATCACATGTGTGTAGATTTGTTCGGTCGGTCTTTCATTTGATTCGAGGGTTTTTTTTGTTTTTGTTTTTTTTGTTTTGTTCTGCACCCCTTTCAAAAGTGTGCTAAATCCCAATTCGATGAGTGAGTTAGCTGTGTCCTTACTTTGATCAGTGCAGAGACCGTCCTTTCAAGGTTTGATCTGTGAGCTAGCCGTGTCCTGACTTTGATCAGCCCAAAGGTTCAATAAAATTATGATCGATGATAGACGCTTCGTAAGTGCATATAAGCCCTGTAGATATTCTCAATTTACTGCAATTCGATTCTCAGGGCAAAATTGAGATCAATTAATGCAAGGAACGCACTGAGTCAACACTACAAGTTTCACTGACACTAATACCATAACCCAGATTAAATAAAGAGCCTCCCTACGTTTTAACGGCAAGAAGTTTAAAAAGACTTGTTTAAAAAGATTATCTTTCATTGCTAAAACGAGTAAACACGACATTAATCTTGTATATATCATATCGTATTTATCTACTAACGGAAGCTAAGATGATAATGATATATAGTAGTATATATTTACCATTAATGTTGAATGAAATATGTTTTTAATTTTCGATCCTGTTCAAAAGTACAGATCGTTGAATTTTGCTTATCTAATTCACAAACATGTAACTTTAACTTGGACTCGATATCAATTGGGGATTCCTAATTCTTATGAATATACTTATTAATACTAAAGAAATTACGACCATTGCTGGGACAGTGTGCTTTAATTAAAAAAAAGTGGATTCTAACGAGGAATTGCAAAAATATATTTGCCGATCACTCAAGGTCAGTTTTAAGAAATCTATTAATAAGCAATGAACTTAAGTCGTGCAAATACTTTGATCTGATACAAATTCAATCAATTTTTAATAGCTCTGGAAAAAATCCTTTGATTGCGGAATTTTGTTTCCCCTATTTTAGCCCTGGGAAAATTTAACTTAATGAAATGGAATCGTGAATGGGAAACGGAATTGAAATGGGAAACGGAATCTCGAAAAGATATTTGTATATATTTCCTTTTCAGAGGCATAGTTCAGTTTCATTAAACCATTTGACAAAGTTGGTAATGTTGATTTTTAATGAAGAGACAATAGAAGACACATTTCTTAAATCAAAAGACGGCGACGTGTCTTCAAAATTTATGATCAAAAATATTTCTTCAAGAAGAAATGGCCAAAATTCGTTCATGTTCGGTGAGATGAATATCCCTGCAAAGAGGAAAGTAAAGGTATTTGAGTTTCCACCTCAGTCGTAAGCTAGTATGTTTTTGACTTCACTACTGTAAAAACCGCATAATCTACGAGTGCTTAACGTAATCCGCTTTAGTGAAACTGATGATAGCGTGGCAATAAAAAAATAGGATCAAACAAGATAAAATTACAGCTTTAATTTCCACGCTTTTTTATTTGCACGGAAAACATACAGATGAAAAAGATAATGAATCAGTAAGAAAAAAATACGTGAAAAAAAAATCATTGTCATTGAGCAGTAAAAGAAGTCTCGCAAAAAGTGACATTGCTGATTCTCATTGACAAGCAGCTTTTCACTTTCATATCGTCACACCACAAAGCGAAGAAAAAATAAGCGTCTTGAAGACAGAAAGGAAGCTACTAAAACACCTTTTAGCATCTTCGATGGAGTTCGTCTATTCCTAAAACTCTTTTTAGTAGCACTAACAAATCGTTGGTCGTGTACGTGGCCCGACTTATCATTTGTGCCTGGCTTAGACTTTCATATGACAGCCTGCAATAATTACTTAACTTAATCCATCCATTCAAAGGGTTTTAAAAGTGACTGCTATAATCCATTAGCTTTCATTCAGTTTTAAAGGCTGTGGTGTCGGTGGTGCATCAGAGATATTTTTGACCGCTGATCAGGAACCGATTCTAAAGAACGGCTAGGAGTAATAAGTTATTGTAAGTGAAATTGAACAGGACACCAAGGCAGTAAATACAGAACGATTTAACAGAACACTGAAGAAGAGCAGGGTGCGGAAAAAATAGAAAGGTTTGTCCTTTTTATTATTTTTATTATTATTCTTTATCCGGTTATACGTTCCTATTTTTCTCTGCGCGAGTTTATTAATTGTCGCTGCATACCATATTCATGAAGTCCAGGTTCTAAATCAAAAATACATTGTCTGTTTAGCCTGCATGTTTACTCGAAATCCGCGGTTTCCCCTCTAGAACTGGACGCACGCAATCCTGTTGCTTTGTGATCAGTATCGTGTACAATTTGTATTGAACGGTATGTCTCTTTACTGTTTGTTTGCTCAAAACATATTACAGTACCTATAATGGTGATTTTTGGGCAGATATTGAGGATATTTAGTCTCAGTACTGTTTAAAAAAAAGTAAGGCTGATGGTAAAGATCGTTCTTTGGAGCTCTCAAGGGCAAACCACAACAAGGCGCTAATGTTGCACTGATATTTTTTGATTTAATGAAGATTTTCCGCCAACAACAAAGCCATGGTAGCTTCAGCATTTTTTATTGAAAAATTCTTAACTTATTGACATATGTAAATATATATATATTTGCAACATTTCTTTCAGTAATCTTTTTTTTTTTTTTGCAAAATTTCTTGCTTTTTTTTTTTTTTTTTTTTTTTTTT